GGTTTAGGGCTGAAACCAAACACCCCCAAAAAGGCCTCAGCTTGATTCAGGCATCTCATGCTTGCTACACCCTCAACCCTAACCCCAGGCCCCAAGCCATGAGCCTATACGGTTGATGATACCAATCCTGCAATACCCATATTCAGGCATATACCATAATTTCCCATAGTTTAGGGTCTTTGAGGTAATGCAGGATTTATATCATCAAAAGTAAGTCAAGGTTGTTCTACTCCGGCCATACTGGAGACCCTCAACCCAGCCGGAGACGCTTGGACCAACCCTGAACCCTACACCGGAAGAGGACATTAAGGTTCCCGCATATTTGCAGAACCTCCATGCTCCTGTTTGGGCATTTAGGGATCCCGTTTCGTTCGGGATTCGGGACTATTGCGCTCGAGGTTCTTTACCCTGTACACACCCTTAAGGGTCCTTGGAATCCCCCTCTAAACGGCCGAAGGGTCCATATTAGGGGCCCATACTTCTAACCTTATAGGTTTGGAGGTTAAGGTTTTGAGAGGGCCGTGTCTGGATCCAACAGAGATGTCTTTCACAGGATTTCGATCGTACACATCTTAACATAGGGACCTCAAAAATTAGAATAGGGTGTGGGGTAGATGATACTATAATTATGATGTGAAGCCCCGCACAGACCTGTTCTAATTATGAAGGCCCCTACATGACCTTGGCTGGATTTCGGAACCAGGTTTATCACGGAAGGGGGTCATTGCTGAGAGTTTTACTTCAAAGTATGAGCCTGCCGGCTAAGGTCCAGCCTCAATTACAGAACTCCTGAACGCATTGCACGGGTCCAAAAATGTTTAATTAACGACATTCGTTGGGCTCCTCAGTAGAGCTGTATCATGTACCCCAAACCCTACTCTCGCCAGTAAGGCCCCTGTGTTAAGCCCCGCCCTGCTTGCACCAGCCGTGCGTCGCCATGTGGGCTCAGTTTTCCAAGCTTTGGTCGTCAAAGGAAGTCGCGAGACTTCCCTACCCTGCACGAAGCCCAGTTGGGCTTCGGGCGACCATGCCCATACTTTAGACTCTTCGGTGCTTGTGGCTTCGTAATATTTGCAAAGTGTACACCAGCTATGTCCTTTCTTGTGTTTGAGGCAAGAAAATGATGAGAGGTGTGGGGGTGTTTGCGTCGGCGTACCGCGGGGCTTGGAGGTATCGACACAGGCTCGGCGACACACTTGAGGCCGGCATTTTTCTCAAACCGTAAATTCCAAAATTTGGTGCGTTTTAGAGTTTAGGGTAGTGTAGTGAGCTGACCATGACGGCCAACCAGGAAAATGTCCTGTCCGGACAGTCTCCCACAGCTGGTTTTCCCTGTTTTTTTCATAGGAATCATACCGAGCCGCTCTTGCAAAGACACGGGAGGGACTCGAACGTCGCGGGCCCTGAACGAAGCACGGCCTTGCCCTGAGGCCAAAAGTATGAATTCGGTATTGTAGGGATCCGAGGAATTAGAAATAGTATCCCCTTAGATATTTACATGTTCCCTGTGTTTTTTGGTATAACATATGCCAAAGCCTTGTTCGAAGTATTCATACCTTTCTCCTGGGTATTGGGACCCCTAGGGGGGGGGCTTTTGGTTGCAGCACCCTTCCCAAACCTTTTCCATGGCAATAACCAGGTTCCCCAGTAGTACTCTTTTGCCCCTTTATTTTAGGGTTCTTTGTTAAAGCTGAATGGCAGAACCAGGGTACTCGTATTATTGAGGGGGCACTTAGGAACTTAGATCATGTTAGTCAGGTGGTAGTTGGGGAGTACGTGAATTATCTGCTTTCGATACTTCCCACAAAAAGCTCACATCTAAACCCTACACCCTAACCCCTAAACCCTTCGTAGACCTCCTGAGCTGCTGGTCTCAGGCGTATCCTTCTTGATGACTGGAAGCTTTTATCTTTGTTCGGATCTCAGGGCCGGGTGCGACCTTAAGTGCTCGAGAAACACCCGACATCGTAGCGCAGCCATGCGAAGCACAATGAGGGTTTAGGGTTTAGGGGTGTGCAGAGGGTTGCCACAGATTAGACTTTTTCGGAGCTGTGGAGTTTGTGGAGATTGGATCTGGGGCTTTGGGTTTTTTTGCGGATTTTGTGTGGTGGGAGCTTGGCTGGTTGGAGACAGTAAGAGAACTGGAGTTCGCTGGAAGCTTGGAGGAATCCGAAGTCAGAAGCATGTCCTAAACTAGCCGCGCATGTGTTGCCAAACTAGAACCTGGAATGCTGTCAGGGCTGGGCCTGGGCTGCTTCCTACGGTAACACACCCCTCCTGGTAAAAGGCTTCTCTCCTAAAGGCTCCACGGTTTCGGTTGCATGGTTACAAAGTGCTGATTGACCCTAACGCATGAGAATGTCGTTGTGGCTTGGAAATTCTAAACCCTAAACCCTAAACCCTAAACCCTAAACCCTAAACCAGTTATTTCCCAGCAGCCTCAAGAGTGGTTTGACACCATGAAGACCTTAAACAGCGGAAAAGAAGCCTCGACAACCTCAAGCCCATGGGGCCTCTCTGGGTACTATGGGGGCCTAGGGTTTAGGGTTTAGGGTTTAGGGTTTAGGGTTTAGGGTTTAGGTAATATGGGGGCCTTAGTAATTGGAATAGGGTTTTGGGGCACATTGTACTATAAGTATAATAAGGAACCGGATCCCCCAAAACAGTATTCGTAATTCTTTAGGCCCCTACAGTACGTGTAAGAATTATCTAGGACAGTTTCAGGTGGGTAGTTACCGTTATAGGAGCCTTATAGAAGGTCTATATACCTTATAAAAGCCTTATAGAAGTCCTATATACCCTAAACTCCCCACCTGTAGTTTCCTTTAAAAGTATGACCATCTTGCAGGTATGCGCTCAAGCGCATTCGGAAGCAGGGTGGCAAAGTCCCCGAAGAGGCAGCCGACCCAAGATCGAGACATGCGTCTTCAGTTTCACATCTTCCAAAACCTACCTGTAAGTATGTTTAAGTGTTCGTGTCCGTAAGCCACACTTCACCTTTTGGTTCCGCCTGTACCATGGCATACCCGGACATACTCAACCAACGACACCCCAGGTTTGGAAACGAAGTTTGCTAAACAGACATGCAGTCAGGCCAAGCAAAGGGATGGGCTGGCAATAGTACATGGTGTTTAAGCGGAACGTTTCTTTCCTGCCTTTTCAAGTGTCCGTTACATCCCAAACAGAACCGTGCGTCATTGGATGTGGCCGATGTGACAAGGCCGCAAGCTCCATCCTTCCCAGACGGATCCGTACCGTCACATCCTTTCCATGATAAACTCTGCATGCACCGGCTGGCTGCCAGCATAACGCGGGTTCAGTGTGGTGCAAATCAACGGCATTTCCCCTTGTCGGGATCGGTATGTCGAAATGCAGCATCTCAAGTTTTCCATGGTCTTGCCAAGTGATCGAACCGAGCCGGCCCAGGGATTTTGAAAATTTTCCCGACTCTGCCACAGCGCAGGTGAACCGCGAATGTGGACTTCTGAAAGGCCTTGACCACCCGTTCATCATGGCTTTGGTGAAGACGTTCGAAACCGACAGGACAGGCTTTCTATGAGGTCTCCGGGTCTTCAAGGCGATCACTTACCTGGGTATAGTGTGTCTATATTCTTTATGGGTTTATAATTGTCGGAACATGAACAGTTTTCCGCTCTTCAGCACTTATCGTCTCATCACATACAGGACGCCGCAAATGCTGCCACCTTCGGAATGTACATGTTGCCTTATTGCCTGATGCTCATGGCGCCTGAGTACTTGTGGTCAGTGTTACGTATCCAAGGACCCTCTTAGGCCGATCTCACTCCTGGGCCTGGTTGCAGATTTAGTTGTTCGTGTTGGTGGTGACTATTAATGATGTCGCTGCGGGTTGTTTTGGAATCTTGCATTACAACTTAGCTTCTGTTGACGGTTCACGTGGTGTCGCCGACACTGCGCACAGTGAAGTGCAGTGTTTCTGTAGATGTGTAGTTGTCAAAATTATGGTCCCTTTTGGGGTACCCCAACAATAGGTGCCGTATTATAATAAGGACCCTAAAAGGGACCATAATTTTGACAACCACCCACATGTGTAGGAGTGTGTACATCCTCACGGAGCTCATCACTGGCGGGGAGCTGCACGGTGCCATTCGGGCGATTTGGCTGCACTACAGCAGGCTGCGGCTGCTGTTCTGTCAACAAGTCTACCAAAAGGGGAGTTTCCGAAAATAGGGGACCCTAATATAGTACCCTAAATAATAGGATCCTCATAATAAGGACCCCAAAATAAACAAGTCTACCAAAAGGGAGTTTCCGAAAATATGGGGTACTTTATTTTGGGGAAGGATCCTACGATTTAGGGTACTATATTAGGGTCCCCTATTTTGGGAAGCCCCCCCATATCAAGCAACGCAGCAGCGATCAGCCCACCCGGTGCACAAACCAGATATGTCGACAGCCCAGGCTCGTCCTCCTTGCCCTAAACCCTAAACCCTAAACCCTAAACCCATCAGTTTATTGGTAAGGAAGGCTGTGTCCACATTTTTTCGACCAGGAAAGCTGAACTTCCTAAGAATCCCCGTCTCCGCCCATGCACGTCTGTGATGCGGTGCCAGAGCCGTTTCTGCTGCAACGCGCACCTGGCCACGTGGCTCGTAGGCTGTCCTGAAACTGACTGCCCTAAACCCTAAACCCTAAACCCTAAACCCTAAACCCTAAACCCTAAACCCTAAACCCTAAACTGACTGCCTGTGGCTTGGATCCCTGTTGCGGTCCTCGGCCCGAAACCCGATGGCCACCAAGCTGAGGAGATCCCCACGGTCCTTTCCAGGGCGCAGGCGCAGTTCTACACCGGATCCCTCGAGCTGCGGCAGCAAGGGGTTTAGGTTTTAGGGTTTAGGGTTTAGGGTTTAGGGTTTAGGGTTTAGGGTTTAGGGCAGAGCAGGAGTCATGGGCTATTTGTCTGCTCTTCTATCCTTCGAGGCATTGGGTTTCAAGTTGAGCTGCAGGAAGTTCATGCGGATGTAGCACGCCGGGGTTTCGGTGTTTTTGTTTTGGAGTCGTGGTGCTGGGCGGAGGGAGCTTTACGTGTGGAGCTGGCGCGCTCCGGATGGGTGGGTTCGGGTTCAGAAGTTCAGGGGCCTAAAGTCTTAGGGTTTAGGGTTTAGGGTTTAGGGTTTAGGGCTTAGGGTTTAGGGTTTAGGGCTGAGGCTGGGTATGATCAGATCCACATTACAAATGGGTCATCATGTGCAAGTCCGAAATCACGAGAGCGATTCTCGGCGAACAACAAGGACATGCTGCAGGGTGTTCAGGACCCTGCAACCTGATTCTATCAGTAGTAGTTTACAGTCCGAAGAGCCCCAAACACCAAACTTTACACTTCAAGCTCTGTAATATAGGGGCCTTAATCATTAGAATAGGGTTTTGGGGGTATAGTATACTATAATTCGAATATGGAGCCCTCATTTCCCTAGTCGAATTATCAAGGCCCCTATATTACGAGCTCCAGGAGCCCTTCAATCTAAGCCCCCGGAAAAAAAGGGGCCGCCCAGAGCCCTAACACACAGAAAGCCTCGGCCTGCGAAGCCTAAACCCCCACTGTAGGCCCCAAAGCCTATCATATGTTATAAAGTTGTGTTTTACTATGCCATAGGGTACTCCTATGTAAAGTTGTACAGTGCCATATAATATTCACATGTTATAGTATACCATACCATACTATATTAGGACATACTGTATCATATGATACTCTGCTATCTTATCCTCTCAGACTATACGGTGTCTTCTTTAAACTCTAAACCCTAAACCCTGAAATGTAACAAACCCGAACTTCAAGGTGATTGTGCTGGAGGAGCTGTCGGAGCAGAGTGCCCTGGGCTCCAGAGAGATCTTTGGGAAAGCTTGTGCCCGTGAAATCAAGAGCCCAGGGAGTTGTGGTTTGAGGTTCAGGGTTTAGGGTTTAAGGCTTAGGGGTTCAGGGTTTAGGGTTCAAGGTTTAGGGGTTCGGAAGTTAGGGTTTAGTGTTTAGGGTTTCAGGGGTTACGGGGGACACCTGCAGGCCCAAGCCCCTCAAAGTCCCGGAATCGCTTCTTTCCGATTAAACCCCAAATCCTAAACCATCCTCAACCGTAAACCCTGAACACGAAACCCTGGCGGATGGGGAAAAGGCGGAGCTTTAATTAACAGCCATGTAACCCTAAACCCTAAACCGTAGGCCCCGAACTCAACCCAGGAATCGTCTACCGGGACCTGAAACCGGAGAACGTGATGCTCGACTCCCAAGGCTGGAAGGGGGTTCGCGGTTTTAGGGTTTATTGTTTAGGGTCTTGTGTTGCAGGCTGAAGGGTTTAAGCCTCAAGGGTTTAAGGGTTCAAGGTTCAGGGTTTCTGGTTTCGGGCTTGGGGTGAAAGCGCACAGGTCTCGAGGTCATCTGTGACTAGCCTGGCTGGTGTTACAACGTCATAACGGTGATGATTGTCTGCATTTCGCATGGAATAGTACTGCCTATACTTACTGGTGCCACTGCGATCGGGGATGGGATTGGTCTTTCTGTCAAACCTGGTATCCTAGAGACAGACAGCCCTTGGCAGGATATCTGAAGCTGATCGACTTCGGCATCGCGAAGAAGATGGCAGAAGGAATTGCCTGCGACAGAAGAGAATAAGAGAACTACTACTGACACTTGCAACTCCTTACCACTTAATACTTACTCGTACTCTAAACAACGACGACGACTACTACTGCAGCTTGAAATAATGCTACTGCGAATACTAACACAAGCAGCAGCCAGTGCGGGTGAATGTGCCCATTTTTCATAACTGTAGAAAAGAACCGCCACTGCAAGGAGAGACACGCACCTTCACCATGATCGGGACGCCGCACTACATGGCTCCTTGATGAAACTTGTCGTTCACGGTCGAAGATCCGGGTCAGGGGGTGGCGGCACAGGAGTCACGGCTTCCAAGATGAGATAATGTAAGAGCACAGTTGGGAGCAACCGTTCCTGGCATTCTCTGGGAGGCATGGACCTCAAATGTCTTGTGTCTGATTTCGAAAGTTCCATAGACTTCTCTGCGGCTCCAGATCCTCACTGGCTTCTCAGCTTACTATGTCTCGTTGATCAAAGAAATGCTGCTGCTTCTGCTTTGATGGCCACAAACACCATTGATGTTGCTGCTGAACTCTAAACCCTACATCCGGAGGCCCTACACCCTAAACCCTAAACCATAAAACCTAAACCCAAAACTTTGGCCCAAAACCCTAAACCCTAAACCCTAAAACCTAAACCCAAAACTTTGGCCCAAAACCCTAAACCCTAAACCCTAAACCCTAAACCCTAAACCCTAAGCTGCACCCCAGAAGCCTTCACCTGAAGCCCTTAAGTGTCTCGGCCGTGGGTCTCAAAGCCATGAGCTACTGCCCTTTCCTAAGGTTCACGGTTGAGGGGTTTAGAGGTTTGGGTGTACTAGAGGTTTAGGGAAAAGGGGGGGCATTCAATTAATCCTAAAGCCCAAACGCCCCAAACCACGATAGATGACGCTGAGGCTCCGGAGGTCATGAGAGGCCACGGCTATGGAACGGAGGCATGAGCCGATGCAGGGAGTGCTCGATGTGTGTATGTATGTATGTATGTATGTATGTATGTATGTATGTATGTATGTATGTATTCACAGATTTAGCTATGCGCAGGTATGTGTGTACACATATATTGTGTATGTATGTATTTACAAACAGTTTTATACATCTGCAAGCACACAGAGACACGTGCGTTCACCAATACACATGCACCCTCGCACACCTAATTGTACACATGACATTTCTATCGCAAAGTACAGATGAAGTTGTACCCTGAACATCAAGAGAGAAGCAAACACACATGAATCAGCACCTTGGTTATTACATACTTATTTGTGTACACAGCATATGTCCGTACATACATATATATATATATAGATAGATACGTACCTGTACAAATCTGTCTCTGTCTCTCTCCCTCTCTCTCTCTCTTTCTGTCGCTCTTTCTCTCTCTCTCTCTCTCTGTCTCTCTGAGTCTCTTTTCACGCTGGAAAGTTTTCTAAAATGCCAGCAAGGTCGCGAGCAGTGAGACCCAAGACTGTTTCGGGAGGGCTTGGTGCCATTTGTAGAGCTTTGCTTTTAGGATCTTTGGTGGATTTCCGTGGAACTTTTTCCAAGTACTCACAGAGTGGAACAGCAGAATTGAGGTCCGGGGAAGTCGGGGTCTGCATAACTCGTCACGTTATCCCCTTACAGTGCTTACAAAATCATGAAAGGACATGTCCCAAAAGCCTGTTGTGAGTGGTAAGTAACGCGAAGGTGGATTTGCCTTCATGCGATGCTTCTTTTGAGTCCAGGCGGACCTCTGGTCTTTGGGTATCATGCTCTTTGAGTTCGCCACCTGGCTTGAAGAGCAAGAGGGTCCTTGGTAATATGAGGGTGCAGCCACGGTGCAGCTGTCTGTCCAATTCCGTAGGTTCAGAAACAAACCACGTTTGGTTTATCATGATATGTGGCTGCAAGTTTCTCAGAACGGCCCAACGCTCACACTTATCGTCTTCATCCTATTGATGCCTTGACGGGAAGTTGTGCGGAATTCCAGCACTGCTCATTTCAATTCCGTGGTCAAACGCTTTCGTGAATTAACTGTCTCTAGGTATATACAGTATACATATATACACGTCGGCTTATGTATAATGTATGTCAATGTATGTCCGAGCATGTCAATGCACGCCACTGTATATCAATGCATGCACAGATTAATCTGTATGTGGGCAAGTTTGTTTGTATGATGCATGTATCTATGTGCGTATGTATTTAATCAATGTCTGTAATATATGTCTGTATGCATGCATGCATGCGTCTCTGTGTTTGTGTATAGGTGTGCATGTGTATATGCATGCATGTGTGTGTAGATGCACGTAGCAATCTTGCCTACATGCACAGGCATACATGCCACGAGAGGAAGAGAAGGAACTATAGAACTGGAGACATATAGCAGCGACATATGCAAGGAGCGGCAGAGCAACGGATGATTGCTTTACATTTTCTATGCGTGCATGCGTGTGTTGATATGTTTGTGTCCTTACACACACAGAGACACACGCGCACACACACACACACACACACACCAACACGCGCGCGCGCGCGTACCTACGAGCCAAGGATGAGACTGATGACAACAGTGACAATACTGCTAGCAGCAACCTCACTGATAATATCACATCACAGCACCGTCGAGCTGCGGAAGCTTCCGAAAGTAGGGACACCCAACATCCAAACAGCAGGATCCTTAATCTCAGGACCACGAAGACGGACCCTGTAGTTTAACAACCCTCCCGACACTGCACTTACAGTGCTCTTCACTCTGGTCTCGGGATTTTGTTTTTGTCGGTTTAGGTAGGGAAGGGCAGGGAACAGGCATTTCGGCTTTCTGTTGGGTTTTTGGGTTTAGGATTTCGGTTGCAAGTTTACTTACGGTTCAGGATGGGTTTCTTGATGGATACTGACAGAGTTTCAGGAAAGCCGAGCATGATCATGTCGGGAGTTCTGCCATCCCAGTTGGTTAAAGGAACCCTGCAAGGAACCTAAGCGACCCCTCAAAGCATACCTGCCTGCCTCATGCAGGCCCCCTACCCCCCGAAGGGTCCCCAAAAAGGTATGTGGCTACCTGCTTTCTTCAGACCCCCTACATCCCCCTAGCCTCTCCCCCTTAACCCCCCGAAGCATCCCTGTGAAGGTATGTGGCTACCTGCCTTATGCAGATGAGCTGGATGATCCAACAGAAGTCTGCACTTCCGTGGCCGGGCTATGGAAGATATCATGTCAGGAGGTCCCGCCTGCGTTGGCTTGCAGTGAAGGGGGATGAGGAAATGTGCAGAGGTGACGTAGAGGTCGGAGTACCGACTCTGCTTTCTTTTGAGGTGTATATGCTACCCCAAAGCCCTGTTCTCAGTAGTACAAACCTGGTGGTGGCTTTTGATGCCTGCTGAGCATGGCCTGCAAGGGACACACTTGGAGGCCACGAGGCCTGTGAACAGAGTTGGCATCGGTTTGCATTCTTCTGTCATGTGTAATTCAACGGCTTACGAGATTATTAAAAGGCCAATGCCATAACATCAAAGAGAAGCAGCAAAATCGGAGAGCCGGAAGTAATCAAAGAGCATGATGCATGACAAAACCCTGATTATTGAACCAGACAATAGCCCTGAAAGCTCCTCTAAAGCAGATCATGGGTAAAGTCCACATAAGAGATAATGAGTGCGACATCCAAAGTGCTGCAATAAGTGAATGCCACATCCCCGAACCCAAGAAACTTATTGACTCGTAAGCCTCTTCGAGAGGAGATGATGGGAGGACAAACGCCAAACTCTGTTAGGAATGGCTGGATCCTCAAGACTCTATAAAGCACAAGGCACTAATGTCTTCGCACATGCTTAAACATCCATCTGGCAGTCTGCATATCAAGCTTCCCAAACGGTCGCCCGTGATACATATTGAGTCTGAGGTTAAGATTATGGTTTTCAGAAATATATACAAAGCACGTATGAGACAGTGCTGGTATTACATACAATTGCAGATATGTATTCAAAAAAGCACGTACACATACTCATGCAGCTTGGATTCATGCATACCAATCTCTCTGGGTCGATACTGCTTGGTGCTTTCATAGGTTTCTGTTTACGAATCTTAAAAGTACTGGTATAGATGTAAATATTTGCGCGCATCTTCCTTCATTCTCTTGTATGTATATCATAGCGGTTTGTTGCATAGCAAAAACTCGTTTTCGGACATATTAAAGGCCAATGCCATAACATCAAAGAGAAGCAACAAAATCGGAGAGCCGGAAGTAGTCAAAGAGAATGATGCATGACAAAACCCTGATGAAGCCTTAAGATAATGTGGTTGAAGAAACCCCAACTTATTGAACCAGACAATAGCCCTGAAAGCTCCTCTAAAGCAGATCATGGGTAGAGTCCACATAAGAGATAATGAGTCGACATCCAAAGTGCTGCAATAAGTGAATGCCACGGATAGCTTTGATAGGGCTGCATGATGCCCAAACCATCCCCGAACCCAACAAAAATTATTGACTCGTAAGCTTCTACATGAGGAGAAGGGCAACAGATCTGGCGCAGGAGCGCGGGCATCCCTCAATAAAGAAGAGTTATCCCACGCAAGCCCAGGCCACCCGAGAAGGTGCAAGAAACCCGAGGCCCCCTTTCCGAGTCGTTCCCAGGTGCTCAAGGATCCCCTCGTCTTCCCACAGCGTTTTAAGGACGCCGCTGCCCGGACCTTGATACAAGGCCGCCAGTAGCCCGGACAGTCCGATGTAAACTTAGGAAACCAGGAAAAAAAAAACAAACCTTAAAAACAGGACATCCCGCTGTCTCCTGTGCAGGGCTTCTGAATCGGCAGCAGAAGAAGCGGCTTGGGGTGGGCTTTCGGGCCTGGGATGCTCGGCCAGACCTTCAGCACCCGAAGTTGCGAACTGCCATCCTGAAGTTGATGTTGCCAGTGGTGTTGGTGGACACTGATGCCTGTCGTTGCTTACTCCTTGTTGCTTCCTGTTCGGTACTGCGCACAAAACACTGAGCAGCGTCGGGAAAATGGCACATGCTAAGCGTGCTTGCTTGTATGTCGTTTTTGACGGATTGCGTTTCAACTGCGTTTCTTTCGCAAAACTGCGCAGCATTGGGCCGACGTGAGACGCAACAACGGCAACAACATGCTGCAAACACTACATGCGCATGTAAGTACCGTACTCATCGTCTTGTTCTCGACATGTGCATCACTCGTGCAGACCGGGAGCATGTCTTGTCTTCAAAATGATGTTCACGGAATGCACGTTACGCAGGCCGCTAGTATCGTAACTCCTCTCTAGATATCCATTCTCGCGATTGACGTCTTTGTCAGGCACGTGAAAGGAGCGGGAGCAGTGTCGTCATCGTCGCCGTCGTCGTCGTGGAAACTGCTGTGACTCCTGCTTGATGCGACTGACTAGCATGGAAGCCCGAATCATGTCCGATATTGTCGTCACCGTAGGTCTCCTTTTTATGATGTTTCTTAGAGTATACACATAAACAAGATGCTAACTATTAAGGCCCCGATATTCTTACCCTTGTCCAGCTGTAATGCAGAGAACTTTTCCCATCTCTCCAAGGAGGACATCAAAAGTGAGGACTTCTTCACGCACGGCCATGACGAGGAGGGGTGCAGTGCCGTCGTAAGTTTAGGACCTTGTGTACGAGGTTTGCTGAAGCTTATGGTGACGGGAATGCATTCAGACCACCTTTCCAGATGAAGAGACTTGGTGCACATGTCTTCCCATCTTGCTCTGGTGTGATTTATTGACCGTTGGCATACCACACATCTGTATGGAGCTTTGCGAAAATTCTAAACCCTAAACCCTAAACCTTAAACCCTAAACCTTAAACCCTAAACCTTAAACCCTGAACCCTAAACCGTCAGGTGTCTGTCTTCGACAAGATCCTGGGCCGCGACCTGGATCCTCCTGTCCATCCACGTGGGGAGACGCGTCACAGCTTAAGTTGACAGAAGTGCTGCTAAACCCTAAACCCTAAA